CTCCGGGAGGGGCGGGAACCAGCTACAGGCCGTGTGGGGACCCGCGTCTCTGCCCTGCGCCCCGGGCTCGATTCTTGAAGGGACAGAGGCGGCGTCTCGGACCCGGGGCTCCCCTAAGTCCAGTGGGTCGGAGCCCCCTCCGCCTTTCCTGGTCCTCGGCCTCACCCGGGGTTCCCTGCGCCGTCGCTGCGACCAAGTTGTGAGCAAAACGAGCTGGTGGACACACGCACGCATGAGCACACGCAGGCACGCGTGGACGGTTGCACACTCCACAGCCACAGCTTCGTGTGCGCTCACAGCAAACTCATAAAACAGGAACCGTAAGGCTTCCCCTCACCCAGGCCGGCCCTCAGCTGCCCCTTCTGGCGCTGGTTTTGCTGACTCCGCAGGAATGTCCACATTCAGTTCCTTGCCCACTACTGGTCATTCACCTGCAGCTTGAGAAGCACGTTTTCTGCCCGTCGTGGGCAGAGGATCCTTGGCTTCTGGGAGGCCCAGGGTGACTGGCTGCGGGGACCAGGGCAGGAGGCCTGTCTCCAGCAGGGCGGGGAGTGGTGGCAGGGCCTCTCCAGGGGGCCGCTGCTGAGCCCAGAGCAGGAGAACAGGAGGCCACCAACAGAGGGGACAGGTGAGCAAATGCTGAGGAGGAAGGGTTAGCCTGATCTAGCCCCCAGGCCTGAGGGGACTTTGCTGACCACCTGGGGTCCCCTCTGGGCCTGCTCCCGCAGAGACCAGGGCAGAGATGTCCACACCGTGGGCCTGGGTGGGCTCCACGGCCGCCGCGAGCTGCAGCTGTCTTCTGAGAGGTGTTGGTGTGCTCATTCTCTGTAGAGATGTGGGGTCACCTGTGTTCCCTGAGCCCCTGCAGCAGCTGGGAAAGCACTGTCAGCCACCCCTCAGGTGCTGTGGGGGTAGAGAGTCCACTGACCACACAGGAGGACCCCAGTGAACCCAGCCCGAGGGGACCTGAGCTTCCACACACCCAGCACCTGTGGGAGCCGGGACAGGCAGGTGCCCGGGGCACCAAGGAGCGGGAAGAGGCGCGCATAGGCTTGCTGGGTGGTGCATGGACTTTCCTAGGCGTGTCACTGGGAACGGCTCCAAGCCGATGCGTCAGTCCTGGTCGGGGAGCATTCAGACCCTATTGTGTCTGGTGCCAGCTCCTCAGATGCCGACCCCTGTTTTCGTGGTTTGAGAGAAATCTGATTGCTGCCCCCATCTTTTCCCAGTCCAGAAGTTTGTTTTTTGTTTTTGTTTTGTTTGTTTTTTGAGACAGAGTTTCGCTCTTGTAACCCAGGCTGGAGTGCAGTGGCACGATCTCAGCTCACCACAACTTCCACCTCCCGGGTTCAAGCAATTCTCCTGCCTCAGCCTCCCAAGTAGCTGGGATTACAGGCACACACCACCCGGCCTGGCTAATTTTTTTGTATTTTTAGTGGAGACTTGGTTTCACCATGTTGTCCAGGCTGGTCTCAAACTCCCAACCTCAGGTGATCCACCTGCCTCAGTCTCCCAAAGTGCTGGGATTACAAGCATGAGCCACCGCACCCAGACCACTCTGGAAGTTTTGAGGCTCCGTGCGCCTGGTCTCCCTGAGCCTGGTCTTCTTGTACCATAAACGGAGCTGCTGGGCCGGTCACCGCCCACCTGGCCACTTTCCCGGTGGCTGCACCCTGCCGCTTGCACTGTCTCTGATTTTTAGCCACTGCACGGTTTTCAACTCGAGCCCACGCCTCTGGTCAGGAGGATGGCAGGAGAGGACTCAGGCAGACAGGGGCAGAGTGACAGGGCTGACACAGGATACCCAGCAACATCTGAGTTTGAGATCATTAATCGTGTTTTAATATAAGTGTGTCCCAAGTGTCCCACGGGACAAGCTTTTACCAGGACATCGTTGGTTGTTTATCTGAGACTCAGATGTGACCAGATGTGCAGGTACACTGATGCCTGATGACCTGAGAGGGGCCTGTGTCGCCCGGTGCGTTTTCTTCTAATAAACGGAGCAAATTCCCTGCAGCAACCCAATGTCCCTGACACCTGCTGCCCAGACAGAGCTGGGGCCACACACAGTCCGCAGCCTAAAGCCTCAGAGTAGAGCCAGATTGCCACTCTCCATCCTGTCTCCCCTCAGCTCCCTTCCCCCTGAGCCCTTCAAAGTCATTCTCAAGCCAAAGACAGGGGTCTTCCAGGCCTGGGGCTCCCCTCCACGGCTGACTCATTCCACACCTTTCCCGCCACCTGCCAGGTGTGGACCGATGGGGAGGGCACCGCCACCTGCTCCTGGTACCCTCCAGCCCAGCCTTTGCTGCCCTTCACCCCTGGCTGGGCAAGGGTCAGGGCCGCCAACATCGGAGGGCACTCAGTGGGGAGCTGGTGAAGGTGCTGGGAGGAAGGGAGGATCGGGGAGAGGCAGTGAGAGGATCCACGTGTGAGAAGCAGCAGCCACCACCACAGTTGGGCTGAAGGGACTTGGCGGGGAGGCAGCATCTCCAGAATGGTGCAGTCCAGGCCGCCAGGGGCTGAGACCGTGGAGGGGATGAGGCCAGAAAGAGGGACAGTGCCAGCTTCTCACTCTCACCCCCCTCTCCCCAACGAGGGCAGCCCAGGACCCTGGGTCTTCGGGAAGCAATCGGGCAGGAAGGCTGGGAGATGGAGCTGCAGGGTCCACCCGCGGCGGCAGAGGCATCTAGGAGCCGCTGTAGCCCCTGAGAGCAGAGATTCCACTGCACTGCTGACCCCATGGAACACAGAGCGGACAGACTTGGGACACTCAGGGCGGAGGGGAGGCAGATGCAGCCACTGCCAGGCGGGAGGAGCTTGGCATGAAGCCAGGTGCATGCAACTGGCCCTCGGGGGCCTTCAGGACCCAGCTGCTGAGGTCTGGCTCATGGTGCAGCTCTTTGCTGAGTCAGGGCTGACTCAGGACACAGGCAGGTGGCAGAGGTAGCACCTGGGCGGGCAGGTGGGGTGGATGCAGCACCCTCGGGGCTCTGGGGATCTGTGACCTTTGGCTGTGTGCCCAGAGTTCCCCCCTTAACACAGTGGCAGGGGCAGTCCCTGGAAGCGTTTATGAAACAGACTCAGATGACCTCGGGCTCTAGGTGAGGGCAGGACCCCCCAGAGCAGCCTGGGGAGAACAGCAGGGCACCCCTCCCGGACACAGTCGGTGGGTGGTGCGGAGAGCAGTGGGAGAGCCCCCAGCAGCCCCGACCCTCCCTGCTGTCCATCTGCATGGCTCCAAGGTGGGCGTGCTGAGCTGGCATCGTGGAGCGTGGGGTGAGGGGAGCCGGACCCAGGCCCAACTGCGGTCTCCTTGTGTGAATCTCACCTCCATGCGGGGGTCTCCAGGTGGCCTGGGTCTCCCACTGCATTGGGGATGGGGGTTCTGTGGTCGGCTCCCAGTCCCCAAAGATGTCATGTCCTCATCCCAGAACCTGACATGGCAAAGGGGCTGTGCAGATGGGATGAAGTCTCGGGTGCTGAGCTGGGGCGTGTGTCCTGGGTCACCCAGGGGGGCCCTTGATGCCATCACAGGGTCTCCAGGAGAGGGAGGGAGGAGGGAGAGTCAGGGAGACAAGGAAAGCAGCTGGGGGGCGGTGGTGGGGAGGTGGCAGAGGGGCCGTGAGCCGAGGGATGCGGATGCCTCTGGGCACTGGAGACGGAGAGGGACGGATTCCGCCTGGAGCCTCCAGAAGGGACCACCCTGGCCCACCCCTTGATTTTAGCCCAGAGAGACCCCATCGGGCTTCCAGCTAATCCAGAACGCTAGATGCATGATGGGAGATGGGGCCCTAGCCTGTCTCCAAGCCCATCTGAGCAGCCCTGAGGGGTCACAGCAGGAAAGCGGGTGTTAGTGAGAGGCCACAAAAGGTCTCGGGGTGGGTTCCCTCCCCTCGAACCCAGGCCCCGGCAGGGTGGGATGGGGTGTCCGACAGAAGGGATGGGACTCATCTGAGCGCAGTAGCTGCCTGGAGTGGGGAACCCAGACCTCGGGACACGGCACCCCCACCCTGCGCCAACGTGGGACCATGCCCGAGCCTCAGCAGCACCTCGGGGTTGGTGACGTGCCCACCTGCAGGGACAGTGTCCCCACACCTGCACTCCGCGGCTGGCAGGGGTTTCCGCGTGGAGGCAGGACCACGGTGAGAGTGTGGGAATGACCGGGCGGCTGCCTGTGGCTGTGCAGGGCCCAGAGATGACTAGAGGGAGGCTCAGAGGGGGCTGGGACACTTGGGGCAATGGGACGAGAAGGCCGGAGCCCATCTGCAAGCCCGGTCCTCAGCAGGCCCAGACTCCAGCCTCTGGGAGGACCCCTGGTAACATGGGGTTCCCGGGGTTGGTGACGTGTCCTGCTGTGACACTTTCTGGCGGTTTGTTTGTTTGGAGAAACGCACATCTACAAAACTACAGACATCTATAAATAGCTCACCTGAAGGTCGCTTTACACAGCTCCCTCATGGGAGTTCCCTGCAGGTCACCTGCACGCTGGTGTGTGGGGTGCACTGGGAGCTGGGAGAGGCAGGGCTGGAGTCACCGCCCTACCTAGGGACTTTTCCCAGCAGAGGTGCAGGGACCTGAGCGGCAGGGCAGCCTGGCCAGGAACCCTTGCCCCAGTCTCCTTCGAAGGCGGTGTTCTCTTGGCTGAAGGGAAAGTCCTGCCAGGGCTCCTGCTGGGCCTCGCCCGCTGCCCTACCTGGAACAGACCCAGGCCGCCTCCCCTCATTTTCCCTTCCCTGGTGCCTTTCAAAGTCCAGCAGGCATGTCAGCAGGTTCAGGCAAAAGCACGTCACCTGGTCCAGGTGAGGGCCTGTCCTTTGACCAGCACGGGCATCGGCCCAGACCCCACCAGAGGGACTGATAGAGTTAGGGTTAGGGCACTTTCCTGTGCAAAGCTGAGCTAGCTCCTGCGTGGGGGCAGGTGGGGCTTTGTGGAGCGTCCACACAGGGACCCTCATCCCCCAGCTGCTCTCAGGGGACCCAGATCCACATGTATCCAGCACCCACTGTATGCAGGGCCTGAGTGGGGCCCCGTGGGAAGCACAGAAGCTGGGACCTCGCTGGGGCCCTTGAGAGGCTCATCCCTGCCTCTCTGACCCCGCCCCGGCACCGTGTGTGTGTGCACTGCAGCCGCCTCTGCCTGGCGGGAGAGGAGACACACAGCTGGGGGCTCCCAGCCTTTGCAGGCCCAAGGCAAGATAGCAAAAGGAGGCTCGCCTGCTGGAAGCTGCCCAGCAGCCTGCCTTGCCAGTGAGAGCAGCAGAGGTAAAGCTGACTTGTGTGTTAGGAACGCACAGAGGTGTAAACAATGGATTCGAAAGGAACACAACTGAGGGTTGCCCCGGGAGGGGGTCTGGTGGATGGGCGGGGGGTGGGGGGCCCATGGATGGGCAGGGGGGCCAGTGGACAGACAGGGGGGCCAGTGGACAGGCAGGGGGGACCGGTAGATGGGCTGGGGGGGTGCTGACTACAGGCTGTGGTCAGCGCTGGGCTTGGCTGGGGGAGGCGGACGGTGGGTGCTGGTCATGTGAGGGTCTCTGTGAGTGACTGGACGTCTGGACGGCATCACAGAGGAGGCAGACACCCGAGGATTGTAATGACGAAGCTCTGTGCCCTGGGCGTGCAGCGATATCACACACGTGCTCCTAAGTAGACGGATAAGTAGACGGAGGAGCATTGGTGAGGGGCTGGGGTTGTGCCCTGGGCGTGCAGCGATATCACACACGTGCTCCTAAGTAGACGGATAAGTAGACGGAGGAGCATTGGTGAGGGGCTGGGATTGTGCCCTGGGCGTGCAGCGATATCACACACATGCTCCAAAGTAGACGGAGAATCGGTTTCGTGCTTCGCGTTGGTGAGGGGCTGGGGCGGGAAGCTGGTCTTCGTACAGTGTCAGGTAGACGCGGCTACCAAAGCTTCCACCTGTCCTGACCCATTTCTACAGGAAACACCCTCAGGCAGTCATGAGTAATTTATTGTAAAACAAAAGGGCCGACCCACAAGTCAGATGTCCCCGCCGTGCTTTGGGCGACTCTGTCTCCTGCCCCCATGTGTGTTCTTTGTTTCGCGCAGCCAGCATCGCACACCCTCTACAGTCACAGGGAAGGGAAGGAGGGTGGAGGCTCTGGCATCCCAGGCACAGCCGCTCAGGAAAGAGCGTGGGGACCCCCAGCCTCCCAGCCCCCGCCAGGCGACAGCCGCTCCCACTGTCCCCTTTGGCAGCCACAGGGGCCTCTGACCCACGGGCTTTCCTTCCTCCAGGAAGTGTCCCGAGAGCCAGTGACAAGGACCAGGGGCCCCTGAGGCTGCCGAAGTCCCGCCAGCCATGCAGACCTCCCTGGTGTTCCCCGGCCCCGTTTCCTGGCCCTTTGGGGCCCTCCTGCTCCTGGCTGCCTCCTTGAGTGCTCAGAATGAAGGTAGGTCTCAGGGTCCTGCCTCTCTGCTGGGGAAAGGAGAGCCCGGTGGGGGCGTGGCAGGGGTGGGAGGGGTGGACTGAGGTTGGGTCCAGACGCCACCAGGCCCCCGATAATGACTGACTCTGCAGACCCAAGGCCCGACCATGCGGAACTGGGCTGCTCCAGGCGGTGGTGAGCCGGCCGTGTCCCGCCGTGGATGGAGGGCAGTGGTGAGCCGGCCGTGTCCCGCCGTGGATGGAGGGCAGTGGTGGGTGGGCCGTGTCCCGCCATGGATGACGGGCAGCGGTGGCCGCTGTGGTACCTGGTGGTCACTGTCAGAGCAATTGTGGGGAAGGACCAAGATCACGACCAGTTTCTAAGCGAGAGGGTCTGGGTCAGTTATGACCTGTGCTGTGGCTGGGAAACGGACAGCAGCCCTGGCCTGGGGGTTCCTTAGGCGTATCTCAGGCCTGCCAGGAGTGGATCGGCATTTGAACAAGGTCCCCCAGTGAGATCCTCCCCAGCTCTCTAGACCCCCAGCCTGTGCAGCAAAGTCACCTGAGGGGCTTTTCTTTTCTTTTTTTTGAGACAGGGTCTACCTCTATCACCCAGGCTGGACACCCAGGCTGGACACCCAGGCCGGACACCCAGGCCGGACACCCAGGCTGGACACCCAGGCCAGACGCCCAGGCTGGGGTGCGGTGGTGCAGTCATGGCTCATTGCAGCCTTGACCTCCTAGGCTCAGGTGATCCTCCCACCTCAGCCTCCCGAGTAGCTGGGACCACAGATATGCACACCATACCTGGCTAAACTGTGTATTTTTTGTAGAGACAGGGTTTTGCCATGTTGCTCAGGCTGGTCTCAAACTCCTGAGCTCAAGTGATCCTCCCACTCGGCCTCCCAAAATGCTAGGATTACAGGCGTGAGCCACTGAGCCACCGGAGGGGCTTTTAAAAGGTGTCAGAGCTCAGCCACATCCCAAACCACATCCCAAAGCAGTTCAGTCAGAATCCTAAGAACAAACAAAAAACAAAACAAAACCGAAACGGAAGAATCCCAGGTGGAGGAACCCAGGTTTCGGGAGATTCTGGCCCCGCCCCCCAAGAGTGGCTCCAAAGTGCAACTGGCTGGGGCCCCCCCGACAGCCGCACGCTGCTCTCTGGACAGTGTGAATTTGTGCAATGGCCTGCAGAGGCCCTGCGGTCCCTGAACACTCAGAGCGCCCAGACAGGCAGCCAGCCTGCTCGTCCGAGGAAACTCAGTCCAGCCTGAAGGCCAGGTGCCCCTGAAGCCTACCCCCTCCCATGGGCACCAAGGCCCCTGGCACTTGCCAGCATGTGGCACCTGCCATGTGGTTTTGTATTTGGTGAAATGTGGCCAAATGGTGGCTCCACCCAGCACGCTGTGTGCTCCCCAAGAGCTCACCCTGCCGTCCGTCCGTCCCTCCGTGTCCAGTCACAGGGGACGCTGACGCAGCAGGGACAGTGGCAGCACCAAGACCCCACGCTGGTGCCGTGCTCGGGGCCACACAACCTGAATCTCAGGCATCCCTGAGCTGGCTGCTGGGGCAAAGGCCCTGGCCCTCTGAGGGAAGCAGCTGCACGGGTCGCTATTGGGCAGGGTGCACCCAGGAGGCGGGAGAGAGAGACTGACACACTGGCTTGTTATAAGAGCTTGACCTCCCAGGACTGTGGAGCTGTGTGTGGAGCTGGCCCGGCCGCCTGGAGCTGAGCGGGCGCCCGGGAGGGGGATGTTGGGGACGGCACAGGCTGGGTCCCACAAGGACAGACTGGAACCTGCGTCTGCTCTGCTGGCCTCTGAGGCTGGCCTATGGGTGTCCGCAGAAGTCCTGCCCTTCCTCACACAGCCAAGCACCTGCACCTGGCCTAGGCCTTGGAGAAACTGAGTGGGGAGCTGAGGGCGGTGGAGCTTGGCCACCGCTTCCCATGAAGAGGGTGATTCGGCAGGCCAGCAGCAGCACTCCTGCCACAGCGCAGTCGCCCGGCACACCCCTGAGGGTCTGGCTTCGCCCACCCCAGTGGAAATGTACAGGGGAGGGA